TGATCTCATTCAAATTGTGCTGACAGCAAAATTCTAAGGACATGAAAATGTGAACGTCATTCTGTTCTTCATGAATTTCTCCCATGGTAAGAAACACATATACACACACATGTACAAATCTACAAGTGAAAGCTATAGTACTGTGCTCTAGACATGAAGATGTCTTCCCTTTTGGAGATAATATTTGAACCACATATCATCAAACAGAGTCCTGTTTTTTTTTTAAGATTTATTTATTTACCACATATATAGTTTGCCTGTACACCAGAAGGCACCAAATCTCATTACAGATGGTTGTGAGCCATCATGTGGGTGCTGGGAATTGAACTCAGGACCTCTGGAAGAGCAGCCAGTGCTCTGAACCCCTGAGCCATCTCTCCAGCCCCAGAGTCCTGTTTTTACAAAGGAAGAAATGGACAGTGAGTGAGCCAAGTTTGAGCCTTCCATGAGTAAGATGGGTTTGTGGCAGTGCTGTCCACACATGATGATCTAGGTCAGCTCAACACCTCCCACCTGGGATAACTGCACAAACATACTTACACAGTGGAGATCATGGAAAGTACAGAGATCAGTCGTTCAGTGTGATTCCATGTCTCAGACCCACAGTAAGCTGGAGACACATGGGAGAAATGCTATGACCTTGTCTGCTCTTCAATGACAATTGGAAGAAGGGTTACAGAAGGTGAGAGCCATACACTCACACTCTAGTTATTGACATGCTGTGAGGGCTTGAATGAGTAGGTATTAGTGAAAAGACTGTAGCTAAGGCCAGGGGTGCTGGAGAGACAGCTCAGCAGCTGTTCAGTTTCCAAGACCCAAAAGTGAAGTACACCTCTGTCTGTAACTACAGTACCCTGGAATCTGAAGCCTTCCCGTGATCTTCAAAGACACCTGCATTCACACATACTTCACCCTCCCACATACACTCCACATAATTAAAAATAATACATATATATGTCTATGTGTGTATGTATGTATGAATGTATTTCTTTAAGAATTGGAGAGAGAAGTATACCTTCTCTGACTACAATACCTGCTTGCTTGTACTGTTTAGAGTTGTTTCACATGTGTTGAGTGTTTACCATATACTAGGCATCATATGGGATTTTACAGGCTTTAGCCCATACCCTTTCTAAACCCTGCATGCCCTGACCTGCAGGAGGAGATGTGGGAGGGTTGAGGAGCTGATTCATCATGTGCTCTTTCATGGGGTGCAGTCCTTGTGTGCACATTATAAAAGGCCATGGATGACTGCACAAGGAAGTCATCAAATGCTTTCATGGATGAGATTGTTTTAAAGATTCTCAGAAAGTATGACAATGCAAGCAACAAATAAGATGTGCTGGGCAGGAAACTGAGGAATCAAAGGTTCCTACTTTCAAGCCCATGTAACTGGAAACAGTGGACATAAGAAGCTTGGGAGGACCTCATCGGATAGTGTAGCAAAATGTATTTCTCTTTTTTACAGTGAAGAGTGTTAGAGTGTTATCAAGATAACTCAGAACAGAGCACAACCTAAAGGCTCCTAGACACCCAGTCTTCTCTTAGGGCTCTACTGCTTAAAGAAGCTCGAAGGGCACAGGAGGAAAGAACATTTTACTCCAGAAGTCACAACAATGGCTGGACCAGACATCGGCTTGGGGCTAAAACTGTAGGTCGGTGGTGTGCACTTGCCTTACATGTAAAAGGCCCCAAGGTCAAGCCCCCACAATGGAAAACAACACCAAAAGGAGTTTTTATTTGGGGCCAAGAAAAAGGGGTAGAAACAGAGACTAATAAAGAAGGCTACAGTCAGAGTCAGATTTTAAATGAGAGGATCAGAACGAAGATTAAAAACTCAAATCTTGGAGTAACTGTCAAAACCAGGAAAGTTAAAAGGGGACTACTACTGGGGTAGGGGAGTGGGGAAGCAACAGAGGATAAGGAATAGCAGGGTACAAGTGATCTGATCAGGGAAATGGAGAAAGAAGGGGGCTCTAATTAGGGCAGGGTGGGAGATATACAGAAGGAGGAGGGAGGGGGGTAAAATAACAGTAAAGACATCTGAAAAAGTCATAAGAAATCATACATTAACTATCTTCCTAAAAAAAGATATTACATCAAAGTCTGAGTATAAATATACATACATAGTTTAAGTGAATTTTCTCACCTGGGTTAACAATGCTTCCTCCAAGAGCCAAAGACTGTAGAGCAAAAACCCAACACCCAGGCACGAGAAGCCTGTTTGTGTTATTGGTTGAGGGCTGTCCAAGAGACTCCCAAAACATTAGAGGCTATTGCTCTTGTCCTTGGTTGTCCCCCAGAGGAAGAGAGTAAGTCCCTATTGCTGAAGGCACCATGTACTTCAGAAATAGAGCCTGGAGGTCACTGACCTGACTCCTTGAGGACTAGCTTTCTTGGTCCCCTGGAAGGGACCATGCAGGCTTACAAAGGAGGAAAGCAACCAACAGTCCTCCCTACCCATGATTACCTATAAATCAGCAACCAGCATGGCATGATAACCCTAAGGATGCCGTAGTGGCACACGTGCCTGAGTGGTAACCAACAGCTCTCTCATTGAACTTAAGATCCACCAAACAAGAAGGACAATATGCCTGGTACTGGAAAGCTAGACAACTATCAAGAGCCATGGAAGGTACGGATCTTGGAGGAGAATGAAAAACCACCACTTTACTATACCAGCATAATACCTATCAACAATCTAAACCCTTGTCCTTATACCCACAGATACGTATAATCTTCACCGCTTATCAACAAAACTTCTCTTTGCAACAGAAAACCACAATCAAATCAAAAAAACAGAGTTGTGGAGCCCAGCCCCAAAACAACTCCCTCACCTAAGGCTCAGGGAACATTACAAAAGAGGGGATAGACAGATTATAAGTCAGAAGGTCGGTGAGTTAACTGTGAGGCTGTGTTTCCCGGTACTGTCAGAAGCCACGCCCATAAAGTCTCACCAGCATGACTGTCTAGACATGAGCTGAACAAGGACAATAGACATAGTAAAGTGGATGGGGGACAGCAAGGCTTCAAACCTACACAAAGAACTATAGGCAACTAAGGAATGCTGAGAGTGAGAGAAAGATTTCCCAGTGGGAGAGCATACCAAGTGGTCAGCCCTGCAAATACACATACAAATAACATTATACATTATACAGATTGAGTAGGTTATATTTAGCAATCAATATGTATATACAAATACATATATACATCCAGTAACAATGAAAAAAGAGGCCATGAATTTGAAAGAGAGCAAGGAGGGCTACATGGAAGAACTTGGTGGGAGGAAAGGGAAGGGGGAAATGATGTAATTTATGGTATAAATCAAAAAATATTCTTAAAAAGCTCACACCAAGATGAGAAATTTAAACAAGAAAACTACAGCAGTAGAAAATGGTTGGAGAGAAACCCCAAATAAAACTTCACTGAACCTCCCTGGAAGGCTGAGGCAGGAGGATCATGAGTTTGAGGCTAGCCTGGGCTATATAATGAGATCCTGTCTTAAAAAGAAAAAAAAAAGAAATAATTAAACTTACTGACAACAGAGCGCCATTGGTTTTCTCTTTGTGAAGATGTGTCACATCCATTTTTCTGGGAAAAGTCCCTAAAAGTTTGCCTCTGGATACAATGATGGCTAATTAAAAAGCTTCCCTTCCTTTTCAGTGGTCTCAAGACTTATCACTCTGATTCCTGGGCTATAAATGAGTAAAACAGAGCCTCTGTGACTTCAAGAGTGAGATGTAGAAACAATTCTGAGCCATGAAGTCCCAAAGTCCATCCCAGGTAAGATGCTCGTCATGCTTCTGGGATAGATTGACAGGGGCAGGTGGCAGACAGCAACAGAACAGAGGCTGCAGCTGTGATGACTCCCCCAAGTATCCGCAGCATCAGCAACAGCTGTCCAGATGCACTCAGTGCAATTCTGCAACAAGTCTTCATGAATGAACTCATCCTTGCCCGCAGTCCTTCTGAGCTCTCTTCTCCCCTCTCAACACAAGGTAGGAAAGTAGGCCTAGAGAGTTTAGATGGCACCTCAAAGCCTGTGCCCAGTAAGGATAACAATGGGATTTGCAACAGGGAAACCACTCCGGAGACTGTATACTGTGGATTGCTGTGCTGACTAGAAAGAACCACAGACTTGCAACAATCCATTGCTAATGTCTGGCAGGACAGGTGGGAGAGCAGGTGAGGAAGGGCCTTCCAGGTAAAGTTGTAATTCAGAGGGCTTCAGAATTTTCAGCCATATAAGAAGTGGATATTCTTCTGTCCATCTGCCTGAACCTGGTATGTCAACAGCATGACCAACTAGGCAGTCCTGTGCAGATGCTTCAATGTTTACAGATGTGTTCTAAACAACTGCACATACGAGATTCAGTCATAATTGATCATTATGAAAATACACATTCTCAAATGTCAAATGTCAACTCAAAGCAGCCCCCATTGTCCCATTTTCTTAATTGATTATTATTGGTATAAAAGGGGCTATATATATGATATATTTAAAATCATTTATTATTATTAGGGGTAAGTTGAGGTAGACCATTTTATGTGACTTTTATTCTTAACCCTGTTCCCCTTTTTAAAAATTCATCTATGTTAGTCAAATAAACCCTTTCCTCCCCAAGTTGCTGTTGATCACGGTGCTTTAACATAGCAAGAGTAACCCCAAATAAGACACAACCACACACATTTTTCTTTTAATTCAAGTGTCTCTTAAATATACTAGGTAAGAATTCTAAAATTATCTTCTATATCAAGATGATAAAAATAGAGTATGCAAATTAGCCAGTATCACAGGAATAATTCGAGTGTGTTGGTTACAGTGCACCAAGTATCTCTGTGAATTCAGCTAATTCTATGATCTCAATAACAGCAGCTGGAAAATGGAAGCTGGTTCCCTGTGTTATAAACACTCACACCATATGAGACCCAAAAGTAACAAACCCACCTCGCTGCTTAAAGTTGCTTAGTTTCCTTTATCATCACCACTAGCACACAACCATTTTGTACATAATTTATTAAAAATAATTGAGAAATATTTTTGACTGAATAATAATGACTCTACAGCAAACCCAGTTGTATTCCCAATTTTTCCAAATGTTTGTTCTGAAAAATAATTGTCATGAGCCAGCCTGGTGAATTCAAGACAGACACACTGTGAACAATCACATGCATCCGAGTTGTACCTAGAATACCCGTGTAAAGCACTGAGCTCACTGACTGTAGGAAGTGTGGCCTCTGATCTAGAATTTGGTTGGCTATGAAGTTTACTCACGTATAAATTCTCAAAAATTTTTTAAAGTATTTGGCCTATTTCTATGTTTGGTAAAAACTGTAATTACAAACTATTTTTTAAAATAACTTTACAATCATGTAATTGTGACCAGCTATATCATCTAAAAAGGTATGAAGTTGTTATCCCAGAGATCAGTTGAGATTCTTATGCTGTGACGCTTACTTCACACACATCACTATTTCCCACTTCCAGTGTCCTTGAATTAAAGACAGAGATCGTAAATATGCTAGTCCACACTAGGTAGCCATATCCTACTTCTAACCACATTATTGTTTCTGTTATATAGAATGTTGCTTCTAATAGATCATGAAAGAGTCCTAAAGTTTCCATGGAAAAATTGAAAGTTCTTCACTAAGGACAGAAATGAAGCAATTACCAAAAATTTCAAAACAAAGTTGCTATTACATTGACCTGAAGAAAACTGACAATGCATATCTTACATACCACAGAAAGACTATTTTATGAGAAGAGACAACTTTTAAGAATATTTTGGATTCTTCAACCCAAGTACAAGTTTCAAAATCAGATAGGAGAGAAAGAGAAAAAGAAGTGGAGAGGGGATGGGAGTATAGACCATTTGGGATTTCACAGAAAAAAACTTTTAAGAGTAACAAAAAATACAATTTAAAGAAGTTTTGAAATCTAAATTTAACTGACAAAGTCGGTACAAAGGAGATGCAGATTCCGTGTAGGATTTTTACCCAGGATAGAACCTAAAAGCAACCCCCACTGGAATGGAACTGCACACACACTCAATGGCTGCTTGACAATCTACCTTGGCACTATGAAGCCAGGCCATGTTACAAGAATATCACAAATGTAAGACACAGTATATACAGTGTAAAATGTTTGGAGAAACAACAGTTTCCAAGCACCATACGAACCATCAATTAATTCATTGATTGGAGATAACCGTTTCTACAGTCTCCAATTGGGTTATAGGTGAAGTAGTCCATAAATAGACTCAGATCCATTAAATTTTATTGCACTATAAATTGGCTGATGTCATTATGCTCAATGTAAACAATAATGCAAATTCCCTTAAAGTTTCTATCTATAGATGACACCTGGGTAAAAAAGAATTAATTAAAACCCATGCAAAATAGTTTTCAAGTTCACGTGTACTAATGTACAAAGTTTCTCTGTAAATGTGCATTTCCATGGACATTCTGCAGACCAAGGCAGGTTGCGGGGGAAGCCCCAAATATAACATCTTTTTTTTAAATCCTGGTTTATATTTAAAAGCAGTGATGAAAAGGTATTAGGTCCATTAGTTTGGGTACCCTGTTCAAAGTTCTTCACCTCTTTGCACATACTTCTGCTAATGTCCTAAATTTGGGCTCCAAATGGTCCAAAAACTCAAGCCCATCTTCTTCCTGTTGGTCACTACAGCAACCCACAGAGCCAGCAGCGGAACCTCTGCCTTCATAGTTGTACGTGAGGACGTAGTCTTGAGCGAGCTGTTGGTTGTCATCCTCGTGGCACAACTGCACCTTCTGTCGGGGAGAAAGCACAACATGGTTTATTTTTATTATTTTAAGCACCAAAACATACTTACAGAAAAAGAATTGCTTCTATTTACCTTTCATTGTTTAATATTTAATCAGAGTGTGTCCTCTAATGGTTTCCTATGTGTAGAAAATGCACATGATTGGTCTGTATCATAAAATCACACCATAAAGTCAGTATTAGCATGCTTCTAAAAGTCCTGAGTGGCAGTAAGTCCCCAAGTGTTCATCTTAAGTGGCCATTGCTTCCCTCTTTCTAAATAATGACAAAAGTGAAAACACACTCAGTAAACTGAGCCCAAATTGATACGAGCTCCATTTTTTCTGAATAGAAAAGTGACGGCACATATTGGTATTGCCTTGCGCTAGAGGTTGGGTTGCTAAAACAAAATTTGTAAGATGCAAAGTCATAGCACAAAATTATTTCCTTAACTAGTCATAAAAGCCATGGGGTGGTGATGGTGTGTGCCTTTAATCCCAGCACTCAGGAGGCAGAGGGAGGCAGATCTGAGTTTGATGCCAGCCTGATCTACAGAGCAAGTTCCAGGAAAACCAGGGCAACACAGAAAAACCGTATCTCAAAATACCAAAAAGCAACAAAACAAAAAAAAAAGGAGTAATACAATATTCAGGAAAGTGAATGACCACATTAATCTGAACATAATTAAAACCCAAATTAATTAAAAATAGTAACTTTCCAATAAGTCAATCCATCATTAACTAAAAGTAGCAGTCTCCACAAACACTAAGCTGGAACCTTTTGTAAAATTAAATGCTATCAATATAAGTTTGGGGAACAGCTCAGGAACTCACTTCACCAAGTCGGGGCTGAGTGAAGTTGTGCCACTCCGAGTACGTGTGTCTGTAGCTGTCCACCTCCACGAGTCCTCCTCTGCAGGGATCCAGGGTGTGGTGATGGTACCCAGCCCCCCGGCAGGACTCCAGGGTCTGGTGGCCGCCTTTCACCATCTCAATGGTCTCTTGCCCTCCGCTTTTGACTCCTGCTCCCGAGGGGCCAAAAGCGGCCTGCCCAGAAGCCCCCACAGCTTGAGTTGTGAAGCCATTTGCGGAATACTGAAACGATAATGGCGGACATCAGTTAAATATACAGAGGAGCAAAGGGCAGTAAGAAGGACGAGCAGGAGGAGATGAGGCCTCGGCCTTAGGTCGGCATTAGAAGAGAATCTTCCCAAAGACACGGAAGGACTGGACCTGTTCTTTCCATCTGTCCTTCAATCCTCGGTACCTCTAGCACGTGCCCTGTACTAGATATCACGTCTAACACAAGAAATAAGCTGCAGGTGCACATCAAAATGCTCGATGGAGATTCCACTTTTTTTTTTTAAATTTTATTTTACAATACCATTCAGTTCTACATATCAGCCACGGGTTCCCCTATTCTCCCCCCTCCCACCCCTTCCCCTTACTCCCAGCCCACCCCCCATTCCCACCTCCTCCAGGGCAAATCCTCCCCCGAGGACTGCGATCAACCTGGTAGACTCA